TCTCGAGGATTCCGTCCCCCCGCCTCATGGTGGCCGCGCGTGCAGCCGCCACGCTGCGGGGGCTGGCGTCCACGGGGAGGGGCCTCTGGGGCCGGCGCCGGCTGGAGGTGCTGAGGTTGCACAGCACCGGTTCTGGCCAGCGGCACAGAGGGCGAGCAAAGGGTCCCTTCGCCGCCACGGCGGGACGCGGCTGTACAGCATTGGTGTTCCGTTGCGAAGCATTGGTGTTCTCCGTTTCGACTCTTGAGAGCGTCCTGGGCTCGGCGTCGCCCCAACATAATTACTAACACACCTATGCGTTGCCCCCAATGGGGGCGGCGCAGGCTCCGAGGAATCTTGTTTCGTGTGCGCTCCGTGGCTGGCACTTTCGGGCCGTACCGCGCTCTGGAAAGTGGACAGTGCCGTTTTTTAAAATACATGCTCCGCGTGCGGACCATGTATAAAAAAATGCAGGGAGTTAGCATTAAAAACAACGATGAGGTCATGCATTAATTTATTCATACATTAGTCATGTTTAAAAAACCGATGCGTTTTTTCTTTCTTTAAACAAAAAACGATATGGTTTAAATCCTATGTATTAAGAGCTGCCCTGCATAGATCACAAGATCCTCATGCTAGATGTTCGGTCGGGGCGCGCGCCCCCGAGGAGGACACGCAGTACTAAGTATGTCTTTGTGCGTCCCAGGGGCCCGATGTTGAGCGGCTTTGCCTTCGTCCCTGCCTCTTGGCTGCTCTCCTCGGGGCACTTGCAGCGAGGACCCCCTGGCCGCTTCCAAATCCTGGGGGACTGGCGAAGGCCGCGGTCTCGACCACGACGACGGCGAAAGACGGCGGCGTCGCCGCCGTCGCCGCCGTCGTCGAGGATCCGAGCTTTCGGGCGTTTTTGGTGCCTCGAGTGGCCCCTGGCGTGTGTTGTTTCCGTATCCGCTTGCGCCTTTCCCCTCGTCTATAAGGCCCCGCCGAGAATTCGTGTGGGGACGTGCAGGTCTTGTTCCCAAGAAACCTTGGGCTCCCGTGCCAGAGTTGCTGCCTCCTCCCCTCCCGTCCTTCCACTCCTTGCCCTGCTCAGCTGGCGCAGAGCTCCATCCACTTCTGTCTGCGACTGGCTGAGCTTGCTTCCTGGCATGCGCTTCAGACAGGCGCGAGGGGCCCCTGGAGGCCTCTGGCGAGGCCTTCGGCGAGGACCTTCTGGACCTCCGAGGACCTCCAGAGAGGCGTCGGGCGTTGGGCGTCGGCGCCGTCGCCGCCGTTGTCGTCGCCCTCGTAGTCGTCCTCGTCCTCGCCCTCGTCGTCGAGGATCAGGGCCCGAGGACTCGGGGCGGTTCTTCTGACCGCTCTGGCCGCCGTCGTCGTCGTCGTCGTCGTCGTCGTCGTCGTCGTCGTCGTCGTCGTCGTCGTCGTCGTCGTTGTCGTCGTCATCGTCGTCCGGCACTCTTCTCGGGCCGGACCAAGCGGGAGCGTCAGGGAGAGGGGGGGGTTACGAAACCTGATGCGTGCGGCTGGTTTCGGCCCCGCAGCTGTGCGCATTCTTCAATGTAGAAGCAATATTGGCTCCTCTGGCGCTGGGAGGCGCCCAACAAAGAAGCTGCGTGAGCAGATTTGCTAGCCCCACCCCCCTTCTTGACGAGGCACATATGATAAGAGACTGGCCTTCCAGAAGGTGCCCCTTCGGACATTTCTGACCCCCCCGAAGGCCCCGGGGGATCCGCAGAGGTCCTGAAGCCAATTGGTGAGGCTACATACGCAGACAGGGGCGGCGAGTGCGCCCTAGGGACGGCAAACGTGCCCCTGCAATGCTCATCGCAAGATTTCTGAGCGCATGTGCAAAGCTGCAGGCTGTACGCAGCATCCTGCAGATGCGGATGAGACTGAGGGGGCTGGCGTGAGGGGGGTCGCGGGTGGGTCGCCAGGGGGGCCGCGGACGAGGACGACGACAACAACAACAACAACAACAACAACAGCAGCAGCAACAACAACAACAACAAAAGTAACAACAGCAAAATAACAACAACCACAACAACAACAACAACAACACTAACAATAACAACAACAACAGCAGCAACAACAACACCAACACCAACACCAACAACAACAACAACAGTAACAACACAAACAAACAACAACAACAACAACAACAACAACAACAACAACAACAACAACAACAACAACAATCATTTTACCCGAACGCTCAGTGTTCTCACCAGTGCCAGGGTTTTCATGCGACGCGAGACAATACCCCCACTTCGTGGGGGGGGCAGTTCAAGCTCTACCAAATATCCAAACGACTCTTCGCGACCACCCAAACCCAGCTTCCCGCCCTATGACGTTGGGACACTTCACTTCGTGGCGTGCGGACGACCGTGGCTACTACACTGGCGTGGGGTACACACCCACAGAACTTGGTCACTTATTCGGGGCGCGCGTGTGCCCAGCATCCTGCAATTGTGACATACAATACATGACACAGACAGACAGAGAGAGAGACAGAGAGCAGACAGAGAGAGAGACAGAGAGAGCGGAGTTGGTCACATTTTTGGGGCAAGTTCCTAAGATCGTCGTGTTTTTTGTTGGTCTTGCGCGCGCGAATGTCCACTTTACTTTTTTTTGCAAGGGAGTATTGAAATTTGATTATGTTAGAACAAGAAAAAGTAGCTCGCGCGAGCTCATGTAACAGAAATGTTGAAAAACCATTGGTTTTGTGGGAGTCGGACAGCGCGCGCGGGATGAAATTTGGACATTTTTTTTTGAAAAACCATTGGGTTTTTGATGTTTTTATGTTGAAATCGTTACGAAACCTAAGGTTCTGGAAGGATTTCGTCTTGCGCGCGCGAATGTCCACTTTACCTTATTTTTTGCAAGGGATTATTGAAATTTGATTATGTTAGAACAAGAAAAAGTAGCTCGCGCGAGCTCATGTAACATAAATGTTGAAAAACCATTGGTTTTGTGGGATTCGGACAGCGCGCGCGGAAGGACATTTTGACAATTTTTTCTTAAAAAACCATTGGGTTTTTGATGTTTTTATGTTAAAATCGCTACGAAACCTAAGGTTTTGGAAGGATTTCGTCTTGCGCGCACGAATGTCCACTTTACCTTATTTTTTGCAAGGGATTCTTGCAATTTGATCAAGTAAGAACAAGAATTTTCATTTTATGGTGTTTTTTGCAAGGGAAAACGGATTACAACAAAACAACCGGATCCGGTGACAATCCACTTTTCTGAAGCTTTCGCTAGAAAATGAAGGAAATGAGGCTGCGGCCTAGGTTTTGGAGGGGGGTCGCGCACCAGGGGTCTCAACAATAATATTTCTTTAGAAGTAATAATATTCAACACCAACAACAACAGCAAAACAACAACGACAACAACAACAACAACAACAACAACACCAACAACAACAACAACAATAACAACAACAACAACAACAACAACAACAACAACAACAACCTCTCTGCTCACGTGCCAACCAATACGTATATCCCAACCCTCGGTACCCGCCCTCGTCGTCTTCGATCGTACCCCCTTCGGGGCATATCTTCCTTACTTGCCACGTGCATTTAGTGACGGATGGAAGGGGGAGGGAAAAGAGTGGAGCACGAGAGAAATTAGCAGGAGGGGGGCAAGGAGCAGAACACAAATGGTATAATCAGACGGGCAGATCGGGTGGGCAGACCCATAGCGGGCAGGTCGGGAGGCGGGCCCAGGCGACCAGGTCGAGCAGGCGGGTTGCTGAAGCGTGGGTCCTGTATGAATCGCAAGTAAGTCTCGAGCGATAGCGCGATTCCCATGTACATCGTGAGAAAAACCGCAGAGAGAGCGTAATTCCTGAGCGCCGAGGGCGCATCGTCTGAATAAATTGTGAGGAAGTCCCACGCAAGAGCTCGATGCGAAAATGAATTGTGAGGGAGTCCCGCGGAGAGTGCGATTGGGGAATACATTGTGAGGAGGTATCATGCGGGAGCCGTTGTTGTTGTAATCCTGGGGCCAGTGGCCCAGTTTGAGCCTAGTGATTTTCCTTTGTAAAAAAAACAGGGTACGAGCCCCGGGGGGAGCACTTCAATTGAAAAAACACAAATGGTCACCGGAGGGGGGATCAACAGTATAATCATTTTTCAGCAATCAAAGTTCAACCGCAAAAACAAACGAGCAAACAAACAACCAAACAACATGTAGGACCATTGTAAGATTATTCGCTCTTGTCTGTTTGCGTGCCAATCAACATGTAAGCCCAAACCATCGATACCTGCTCTCTTCGTCTTTGATCGTGCCCCCTTCGGAGGGATATCTCTCTTCACTGCCACGTGTACTTGGCGAACCCCCCTTTATAATGGAAATGGAAGAGCGCGATGAGGAAGGGAGCGGGGGGAAAGGAGCGAGGAAGGAAGGGGGCAAGCAGGAGGGAGGGAGAGGATGGAGGACGAGAGGTATTTGCAAGAGGGCTTAAAGCAAGAGGGGACGGCAACGAAAGCCTCCGGCGAGAGCGCGGCTCATGAGTAGATAGCGAGGAGGTCCCGAGTGAGAGCGCGACTCCACTGCGCCGATCCTCGCATAAGCTGCCAGGAATGCCCGAGCGGGAGCGCGATTCCTCAGTACACTGTGAGGGCGTGTCAGGGGGGAGCCGCTGCAATCGTAAACTGGGGGCCAGGGGCATAGTCTGAGGCGCAATATCTTCCCGTACAGCCGGGGCCCTGAAGAAGGAACCCTTTTCGTTGGGGAGGGGCTCGGTGTTCCTTTTGATTGTTCTGCAGTGTGCCTTCTGTTTTCCTGAGGTTTTCCATGGGAAGTCGAAGTTCAACTTATGGGAGAAAGGGGCCCCGTTCCTTATTTAGGGTTCCTTAGGTCAACGCCCCGACTGTATGGAAAAACAGTCGGAGGTGGATAGACCTCCTACCCTGACACGTCGATTGAGGAATTGGCCGTTTTCGGATCGCGAGAGGGCGCCGCGGCCGTCATTTTTGTGGGTCCACGTCCGTCGGTTTCGGTCCCAGGCCGTTTTCACTAAGGGGAGGTTTACTGGAAGGAGGTCTGTCCACCGCCGAAACTGGAAAAAACACAAATGGTACAAGTGTGACCGGAGGGGGCAGATCAACAAGAGTTAATTCTGGAGCAGGGATCATTTTCCACAGAAAGTTGGACAGGATCCCCACTTCGGCTGCGCACGCAGGGACAGCGTAAGATTGTTCGGCCCCCTCGCTCTCACGAAGCTCCTTCTCGTCCGGCCCGAACCTCCGGCAGGGGCAGCGATGGTGGGGAAGGATAGGCATAGGGGGGGATGCATCAACCCCTAATCGCCCATGGATCGCCGATAGGGGCCCGATAACCCCAGCCTGCCCAGGGACTTGCGGATTCACCATCGGGGGCCTATCGCCGATGCATCGGCCATGCATCGCCGACTCCGGGTCGTTGCTCCCCCCCGGAGACGCAATGAATCGTCGATTCCCCAGACAAGATAGGAAAATATGGACAGTGGGGGGGGGGGCGGGGGCAGACGGAAATCCCACAAACATTTGGAAAAATATGGGGGGCCCCTGGGATCTGTGTGCATTTCTCTCTGTGCCCCCCTTGGCCCCTTCGCATCCGCCCCCGAGCCTGGAGCAGCTCGCGGAGCTCGTCGCCGCGCTGGGCGGGGCCGAGCGGGCGCTGGAGGCGGCGAGGGCCGCCCGCGCTCGGGCGCGGGAGGCCGAGGCGTCGGAGCTGCAGGCGGCCGCCGCCGTCGGCGTCACCGCCGGCGTCGTCGCCGTCGATGTCGTCGTCTTCGTCGTCGCTGGCGTTCGGATGAGGTCGGGCCTGGCCCTCTGCAGGAGGAAGATGCAAGCATGGTGGAAAAGTAGTCTGGGGGTGATGTTTTTATTATTTTAGGTGTACTTTTTGCACTTTGGGGGTATTTTGTTATTTTTAGTCCAAAATCCGTTTGTAGGGGGACACGCCCGCCCGACCTACCGTTCGGAGGAGGAGAGGGACCCCTGCCGCTACCCTTGGCCCGTGTTCTCCTTTGTTGGGGCTTCCTGGGAGGACCTCGTCACCACCGCCGGATTTGTTTCGAGATCCTGGTCAGGACGCACCCCGGGAGAGGTCTGGGGAGTAGCGGTATCGGTACCTTCTGGTGTCCCCGGACAATGCCGTCGTCGCGCCGTCGTCGCCGTCGTCGTCGTCGCCGACGCCGTGGTCGTTAGGACGTGTGCAATACTGCTCACCATCGAGGAGCATCCTGGATCATCGGGCAAAAACGCGCACGGAGTCCAAAAATGCACAGGGAGTGGACGTCCGAGCAATGGCCAGTCGTCGTCTTCGTCGTCGCTGACGTCGCCGTCGTCGCGCCGTCGTCGCCGTCGTCGTCGTCGTCGTCGCCGACGGCGTCGTCGCCGTCGACGTCGTCGTCGTCTTTGGCGACGTCGTCGTCCCAAGAGTACAGTACACGGAAAACGCCTGCGTTCTGCATGATGCCTACGGAGAGGTGCTTTGGGGGTCCCAACACGGTGCGGTGACCACACGGTGTGATGCCTCAGTGGGGAGCCGGGAAGACCGCAAGATTTTGGATCGGAGTCGCTCTCCCAGGAAGTCTCGGGTGGCAAGGGCCTCCAGAGGCCCAAAAACGTGCGGTGACGGACCGTGCGGCGAGGTCTTGGGGAGATTTCGGCATCGCCACGCAGCAGCGCCCCGGGCGATGACACATGCATTTGGTTCCAGGCTTGCTCGTGAGCGTCGTCGTCGTCGTCGTCATTGAGATCAGTTTGTCGCCCTCTCCAAGATCTTCGGAGGTCGATAAAGCTTAGAACCCCAATAGTGCCGCGCCGATTATCGATTTTTTCTTCGTCGGTTCTCGAGAGGGTGGTGCACTCGCAATGTTTGCGAGCAAGCGCCCGCCAGTTCTGGGCACCAGACGTTCTCACCGAAACGGTGTTTGTGAATGGGGATTCTGTCCACCCCCAAGATTCCTCCCACCGGCAGATAGCAAGTTGGGGCATGTTTTTGGGGTTCATCCCCTGGCGCGTAGGGGTCGTTACCCTCCCCCCCGCCACTAGCGATCACGATTGCGCGTAGGGGGGCCCTGGACCCCCCCCCGCACGACCGACCGCAGCACCCCGCTCAAGCGTTAAAACGTGCGGCTTGAATAAGGAACACTTGCTTTTCAAAAGGGGCTCTGTCGTTCCTTGGGCTTGCATGCGTTACTTATCGTTCCTGATGTGTTAGTTACCTTGTAAATGGAGGAATCTCAGGCGGGAACCTCGTCTGTGAGTGAATTGCGAGGACATCTCAGGCGGGAGCAGTCTCCCTATGGTTCCCACACTTCACGTTGGTAATCCGAGCAGGTCGTCGGGATCTGGTATTTGTGTTCACTGTTGGGCTCTTCAGGCTTGAATCTTGAAGAAGTCTCAGGCGGGAGCCTCGTCTGTGAATGACTTAAGAGGAAGTCTCAGGCGGGAGCCTCCTTCCTATGGGATCCGCATGTCATGTTCGTAATCCGAGCGGGCCATCGGGATCCTGTAACCGTCGTCACCTTTGGGCTCCTCAGGCCTGAATATGAAGGAAATCTCAGGTGGGAACCTCGTCTGTGAATGAATAACCAGGAAATCTCAGGCGTGAGCACACTCCCTATGGGGTCCGCGGCTCATGTTGGTAATCCGAGCAGGTCGTCGGGATCCTGTATATGTCGTCATTTTTGGCTCCGTGGTTCTCTGTAGGAAGTCTCAGGCCGGAGCCTCGTCTGTGAGTGAATTGCGAGGAACTCTCTGGCGGGAGTCTCCTCCCTATGGGGTCCGCATTTCACGTTGGTAATCCGAGCGGGCCATCGGGATCCTGTTACTAACTGTCGTCACCTTTGGGCTCCTCAAGCCTGCACATGGAGGAAATCTCAGGCGGGAACCTCGTTTCTGAGTGAATTGCTAAAACATCTTAGGCGGGAGCCCCCTCCCTGGGTCCGCAGCTCACGTTGGTAATCCGACCGGGCCATCGGAATCTTGTAATTGTCGTCCCTTCTGGGCTCCTCAGGCGTGAATTCTGAAGACGTCTCAGGCGGGAGCTTCGTTTGTGAGCGAATTGCGAGGGGATCTCAGGCGGGAGCCCCCTCCCAATAGGGGTCCGGATTTCACTTTGGCAATCCGCGCGGGTCATCCTTGTCGGCTTTTTTGAATTGAATATGGAGGAAGTCTTACGCGGGGGTGTCGCTTGTAAGTGAATTGCGAGGAAGTTTCAGGCGGGAGACGCCCCGACCTATGGGGCCCGCACATCATCTTAGTAATCCGAGCGGGTCGTCGGCAAATTCTACCAGGCCAAAAATGTGAGCACCCCGAAAGGGCACATCACGAGGCTTTCCTCACGCGTCCGTGAATGAGTTGCAAGGAAGTCTCAGGCGGGAACCGCCTCCCTAGTCACACGTCGCTCAAGGAGTTCGACAAAAAGAGCGGTGGACTCCAGGGCTGAGGCGGAGCAGCTCGCGGCAGAGCTGAACTTCGTGTTGCCTCCCGCCTGAGCTCGGCCGCGACGAACTCGGTACCAGCGGGGATGTCCCAACGGCTTGCTCTCGCGCCCCAGTGGCTCGCGGGGTAATCCCAATGGCCGTCGCCTCGTCGGCCTTGGAATTCTGCCATCGGAGAGCGCGCCCTTGCCCGGCGTGGCGGCGAGGGTGCCAAGGAAAATCGGCATGCGCGCCCTTGCCAGGAAGCTTTTGCCAGGAGAAAGGAGGGGCACATGAGAAGAATAGGCGGGGCGGAGATGAAAGTGGGACGAGAGGGCGGAGGAGGTGGAGGAGGACGAGGAGGAAAAGGACGAAGAGGGAAAGAAGAAATGACACAAGGAGGGCGAGCACAAGGAGGAGACGAAGGACACGGAGGATGAGGAGAAGACGCAATAAAGGGCGAGATGGGGGCTTCGGCCAGAGCGAAGAGGAAAAGGTGAAGAGCAATCTAAATAGATGCTCGTGCGGACTCCGACCGTCGGGGTAATCAACAATTTGTCCCACACATGTCACGACATGAATCTTTCCACAGAGACGCTTGAGTTTTGAGTTTTGGGCTCCGGGAACATCCTGGCGGAGGAGAAAGAGAAGGGGGACGATGAGGAACAGCTGCACGAGGAGGAGAGGAGGAAAAGCAGGACATGGGACAGAAGGAAAAGCGGGACATGAAGGAGGCGAACTCGGAGGGGGAGGAAGGGGACGAGGACGGAGTGGAAATGGAGTAACGAGGAGGAGGGATTGAGGAAGAAGAGCAGGAACAGGAGTAGTAGTGCGGGGAGGAGGGGGAGGAGGAAGAGGAAGAGGAGGAGGAGGAGGACAATTGTAAACCAAAGAGTCGTCAACGATGTTGGTATAAGCCCTCCATTCACGTTCCCTCTCCATAGGCCCCATACAAAGGGTTTATTCCCACTGAGGGAACAGCCGAGTTGAACGAAAACCGTGTGAAGACCCAGAAACATGCAAAAACATAATTCTCCGGACTCCAACGCTACGGATCAACCAGAGTGTCGCAACTTCACGATCCTGAATATTGCCAGAACGCCATTCCTGGGACTTCAACACCGCGAATCAACGTAACTGTTGCGCCCTCATAATCTTGAATTTGTCCAAAATCAGATTTCTGGTACCTCGACCATGGAAAACCCGCGGAACTCGTTAATCTTTAACCAGAAACGTGCGCGGCGCTAGGTGAGAGCAACATTTTGAAGACGAGCCGCCCTCAGTCCGTGAAGCCATTGCGAACGTTTAAAAAGAATTTGCGCGTCGCTACGGCGAGAGCCACGGCGTTAAGGCGAGAACCACATTCTGAAAACCGCACGCCCTCAATCTGTGAAGCTGTTGCAAATACGTACAACCATGCGCGGCGCTGAGGCGAGAGCCACGTTTTGAAAACGTTTTGAGAGCTGTGGCCAATGTTTAAGCTTCGAGTGAGAGAGTCTCAGGCGAAACGCCTGGCCCGCCGTATCGACCGGCCTCAGGGTGCGACAGGGAGAAGTTGCTTATAAGTAAAAGGAAAGAGGAGGAGGGAAAGAAGAGGAGGAAGAAGTGGGAGGAGGAGGAGGAGGAAGAGGAGGAGGAGGAGGAGGACGATGACGACGGGGGAGAACGGGGAGGGGGCCGAGGAGGATGGAGCCCCGCAACGCCCACATGCAGTTGATTCCGAAATGTTGCCGATCAGACAAGCGAATGCGAGAGCCTTGAAACGCGGCACAAAAACCTAAGCGCACTCAAACATCGCGCGTTGTTCGAGTGCGCATACGTACACTCTTCTCTGTACATGCAAACATGTATATACATACGATGTACGCAGACACAAACAACTGTACATACATGCATACATACATACATAAATGCATGCATGCATGCACACGTGCGTACACATATACAGACCGACATACGTACATACATACATACAGGCATACATGCAGGCATGCATGCAGGCATATCTACATGCATACACACATATGTATAACATACAAGCGTACATACATAAAGCCATACATACATACGTACACATGTACATGCACACATGCTTACATAGTCACATGCATACATACGTACATAAACACATACATGCTTGCCCACATGCATACCTGCACGCACACATACATACACCAATACACACATATTGATGTAAACATAACCACGCACATGCAAACGTGCATGTATGCATACACGCATAAATGCAAACATACATGCACACATACATACATGCGCACACACAGGCATACACACACCTACATGCATGCATGCATACATACATACACACATACAGGCACACATACGTTCACACGTACATGCATCCGTATACCTATACAAACAAGCACACATGCACGCATACATACAGACAGACAGACAGACACATATACATAAATGCATTTACACACATGCGTGCACATCTATATACATGCATACATACGTACATACCTTCATATTCACACACATGCATACAATCATGACTTTATACATACATACACCCATACATACATGCATGCACACATTCGTACGTACGCATACATCGAAATATACACACATACATACAGGCAATCATACAAACATACATACATACATACGTACGTGCGTACGTACGCACATACATACATACATACATACATACATACATACATACATACATACATACATACATACATACATACATACACATAACGGCGGAGGCGTCGCGGGGGGGGGGGGAACCGGGTGCCTGAAACCTCTGTGGGTGGACCGGGGTCCCAGGTGTCCTCCAAACTAGCCCCCTAACGGCTTCAGAGGGCCCCAAGACGGCCCCGGAGCCCGCCCAGACGGCCCTGGATGGCCTCCAGACCGCTTGAGAACCTCGAGATGGTTCCAAGACGTCCTCCAGAGGCCGGCATGTTTTATCTTCTGTAAAATGCATTGGAAGTTTGTGTCCACCTTTTTGTTTTGAGAATACCTCGTAGGCTCGAACCCATGCCACGCCTCTACCCGAGACGCCCGCAAGCCCGCCTGACAGGCGAGCCGCAGGAGGAGCCGCGGACAAGCCCAGGCCATGCTCGAGGCCGCCGAGCTGTTGCGGCAGGAGACACGTCGCTTCGTGTGCAAGTCCTGGGAGGTTCACTTCAGCATCGGCGTTGGTACATCCTTCGTCGGAGTCGAAGACGCCTGCGGCGAATCACCGCCGCCCCCTGCCTTTTTGAATCGCCCATGTGTCCGAGCGTCGTGGCAAGAGCTCTGCCAAGCTATCGGACCATGTGCTCCCACAGCCGTCGTGGAGACCCTTCGGGGAACACTTGGGGGAGGATGGCGGGGAAGATCAGGAGGAGCTGGAGGAGGACGAGGAGGACGAGGAGGAGCAGCAGGAGAAAGAGTGGGAGTAGGAGGAGGAGGAGGAGGAGGAGGAGGAGGAGGAGAACGCGGAGGAGGAGGAGGAGGAGGAGGAGGAGGAGGAGGAGGAGGAGGAGGAGACATCTCGGGAGCCTCTGGAGCACTGTTAGGGCCTCCTGGGAGCTTCCTGGGAGCCTGTTGGAGGCATCTTGGGGGCCTTCTTGGGCCTCTTGGGGGCCTTTGGGCGCTTCTCGTGGGCATCTTTGCCCGTCTTAGGGCGTTCCTGGCCCGTCTGGCGCCGTCAGAAGCCGTCCTTAGGGGCCTCTCTGGGCCGACTTGGGGCTCTCATGGGTTTTTCCAGGTCCCTCTTGGAGGCCATCTTGGGCGTCTTGGAGGCCTCTTGGGCGATCTTGGGGCCGTCTTGGGGGCCTGGGCGATCTTGGGGCGATCTTTGGGGGCCTCTTGGGTGGTCTCGGGCCGTCGGAAGGCCAGAAAGAAACAAATGCTAAAATCAGTCAATACCCGAAAATTCCTGGAGGCCCTCTTGGGGGCCTCGTGGGCCGTCTTGGAGGCCTCTTGGGGGCTTCTTGCGGACCTTTTGGGCCGTCGTAGGCCATCTTGAGGCCATCTTGGGCCATCTTAGGTGCATTTTGGAGCCATGTTGGGATCTCTTGGGGCTATCTTGGCCGTCTTGGAGGCATCTTGGAGGCCATCTTGACCGTCGGGGAGGCATCTTGGAATCCATTTTGGACCATCTCGGGCGAGAAAGGCATTAGCATGTACATTTTCCGGGTGGCCGTCGCGCTGGGCCGAACCCCCACGGGGAGTTCTAAAATAACCAAGGTTTCTTGAAATCTGGCGCGCCAGGCACCCCTGTGGCAAGCCAACAGGGGGCGGCGGATCCAGCCTGATCCGGCCCAGCCGCTTAATCCTCGCATCCTATTTACATTGGCCTAACCGTGGGCGCAATCCATTCCAATCTGGTTGAATGGCTGGCCCCACGTCGCTAAATCTGGCATTCGTCGACCCAAGCTGAATACAATTGCTCCCACGAGATGCCTCCCTGGAGTTGCCTCCCAACGTCGTCGCCGTCCCGTCCTCGTCGCTTCTGGGAGTTTACCAGCCTGGAACACATCCCTATCCCTATGCTGGGCATCTCCTCATCACGATGCCAATCTTAGGGATTCCCTTGTTTTTTGAGGGCGCATCCCTAAGATTGTCATCGCCTTCTGGCGTGTCAATCCCAGGGATAGGGATAAATTCGAGGCTGGTGAGGAGTGTCTGGCTGTTCTGTTTGTCCTTCGGGTGGCCCGCCCAAGCCCTCCGCCGGGGCCTCGGGGGCCGCGCTGCGGGCCCGAGGCCTCTGACAGTGGGCGCCGTAATGGTCGGCGTCGTCGTCGTCGTCGTCCTCGTCCTCGTCCTCGTCCTCGTCGCCGTCCTTGTCGCCGTCCTCGTCCTCGTCCTCGTCGACGTCCTCGTCGCCGTTATCGTCGCCTCTGCCGTCCTCGAGGGTCAAGGGTGCCTGCTTTCTCTTTTGCCTTTCTGTTCTGCCTCTGGGCTCTAGGCGTCCTAGATGGGGTGGGAGTGCATGGGGTCGGAGGATCGCGCCGCATCGCCGATGCATCTGCGATGCATCAGCGATGTGGAGCCTGATTTTCCCCACATCGACGTCGCCCATGCATCGCCGACGTCGACGATGCAACGTCAGTGCATCGCCGATGCATCGCCGATGTATCGGCGATGCGGCACGATCCTCCGACCCCATCTACTCCGACCCCATCTAGGAGGCCTCTATGGGCGTCTTGCCGTTTTCACGTCCAGATCCGCCCCGGATGTGCTGCCTGAGCGCACCCCAGGAGGTGTCTGGGGGGATGATTTCCGAGGCCGAATCTCAAACCTCGGAGAGAGGTTGTCGATGATTGACATCGTCGTCTTCGGGTCTCATCTTTTTTTGTCTGCTTCTGCATCCTCTCGTTGCCATGGCTGGGAATGGTTCACACAAAAACGGGTGGTGTGGAAAAGCGCAGACGCGTCGTCGCCGTGTTCTTCGTCGTCGCCGTGATCCTATGTCGTCGTCGTGACAAAAGTTCGAGGACCGAGGTTCGAGGTGCTCTCTCGATTATGGCGTCTGGAGATCAGTTTCCGCGCCCCCGAGCCGTGGGAATCGATCTGGGATGAAAGCGAGCCGGTCAGGATGGACCCCATGCAGGAGGACCCAGGCTCCCTCGCGTCGTCGTGGTCGTCGGTGTGATTGTCGTCAAGGGTCAAGGTTCAAGGATGTTGCTGTCTAGAGGTATGTGTGCCCTGCTCGACGATATACCACCTCGCATAATTCCTACCAGGGGCCTGTGGCTGCAGCACCGCTCACAAAGGCCCTCTTGGCCCGAATGCGCCGCGCGCCGCTCCCTCCTCTGGGGCCGCCCTCCTCTCTTCCCCTCCTGCTGGCGCGCGGCTCGCCCTGCGGCGCCCCCGCCTGGGCTTCGACCGCGCCATTGCCCGACCGCCAGCGCCGCGACCACCAAACAGCCGTTGCCGCCGCCGGCTTGCTCGGCCTCCACGAGAGGCTCCTCGTCGTCCTCGGCTGGATCCGCCTCGACACTCCGGTCGGAGCGCGCCCCGCGGAGCGCGATCCGACGGCTGTGCCCCGCGTCCTCTCCGTCGTTGCCGCCGCGGATGGAGCGGGAGGCCCGAGAGGGCCGCGCCTCGAGGCTCGGGGCCTCCAGGCATGCTCGGCGGCTCCGGCCTCCTCCCCGAGGCCTCCGCCGGGGAACTCGGGGGGCCGCGCGCAGGGACTGGAGCCCCGCGGACAGTGGCCGTCGTCGCCCGCCGATGGCTGCACTCGCATGAGCGAGGCCCTTCGCCGGAGTGGCCTGAAAGTCCGGGCACGCCAGGGTCCCCAGGTGGCTGAGCGCGCGGCGGTAGCAGCGGCTGGCGCCCTCGTGCCTGCCACCGCCCCCCCGCGCCCCCTTCGAATCGCGCACCGAAGGTCACTCCTTGCGAAGGGTCACTCTCGCGTGTAGCCGAGTCGGGCCCCCCCGCGGCCCCCACCAAGCCGCGTAGCAAAGGTCACGTTTGCCCAGGTTCACTCTTGCGTGTACCGGCGGCGAGCGAGGGGGGGCAGCGAGAAGGGGCGGGCCTTCAGACGGCTCGGAAGTCCCCAGGCCTTCTGAGAAGTGCTCTAGGCCTCCCCCGAAGACAGGCAACAACCTCTCAGAAGGCGCGAGGGCATCCGAGAAGCCCCGCCGTCTTCTGAGAAGGCCTGCTCCTCCTCACTTCCCCCCCTCGCTCGTCGCTGTAGCCTTAGGGCAGTGGTCGTCGTCGTCGTCGTCGTCGTCGTCGTCTGCGCTGTCGTTGGCTCCGCCGCGCGATCGTCGCGGGGCAGGAGGCGCAGCAGGCGGAGGAGGCGCGCGGGCTGAGGAGCCCGCGGGAGAGGCAGGCGCGCTGCCACGCCTCGCTCCGCCACGTCCAGCAGCTGACCCGGGACATGAAGGACCGCGCCGGGCAGGCGCCCTCGCGCCCCCGGCTGGGCTCGGAGCCCCATCCAGCTTCTCCGACTTGCAGTGGAGGCCCACGCCAAGAATAGGGGAACAAGAAGTGACATAAACATAAAAACTCGGAATCGGGCGGCACCGGAGGCGCCGCTGGGGGGCCCCAGCGCCGATCCGAGAAATCCGCGCGGACCTCAGAGTTTTTATGTTTATGTCACTTCTTGTTCCCCTAAAGAAGCCTCACCAGCCTCGAGCTGATCCCTATCCCTAAGATCGACACCCCAAAAGGCGAGGGCAACCTGAGGGGCGCGCCGCGAAAAACGAAGAGGATCCCTAGGATTGGCATCGGAGTCCCTATTATTGGCATCTTGATGAGGCGATGCCCAGCTTAGGGATAGGGATACGTTCCAGGCTGGTAACATCCAGCTTCCCCGACTTGCAGTGGAGGCCCACGCCAAGAAGCACCCTGCTTGCCGCCTCCAGACGTGACGCTCCCACACCGAGCATCGAAGGAAGCCCTGGGGTCTCAGGGTCAGGTTTCTTGAGGAAGGCTTCTTGTGGACTGGCCTCCACTGTATAAGGCAAATCTAGGAGGCCTCGCACGGCAACTTGAGACTGAACTTACGTCGGACGCACGTCGGTGTCCACGTCGGTGTTTCGTCGAACGTGCGCCCGAGAGCATCGCCGCGCGATCGTCGCCCCGTACCTCTGCGCCCGTCGCTGGTCCCTTCTGGCCACTGACGCTGCTGTTCCCCCCTGGCTCCCCCTCCCCCCGCCCTCCCTCCTCTCGCGAGGCTGGGATTTCTAGATGTCCACCGCCTGGGGGCCTGACGCTACTTTTCCCCCTGGCTCCCCCCCTCCCTGCCCTCCCTCCCCTCGCGAGGCTGGGGTTCATAGAGGTCCATCGCCTGGGGGCCGGATCTAGAGGTCCACCGCCTGGGGGCCGGATCTTCCCGGAGTTCGAGAGAGGCGGCGAGCGTGGATTCGTTCGGCCCCCCAGATGTATCTATCTCCGCTGCACGCTGGGGTCCTGGGAGACCACTTCCCCAGGTGGCGCATATGAATAAAACCCCGCCCCTCGCACCGCTCTCTCACTGCAAGCGATGGCACTGCAACCGACTGGATTGCAAGGCGCAACAAGGCCCAGACAACGGGGCGGCGACGGGGCGGCGACGGCGGCAGCACAGCCACCATACCGACCGCACGGCCCTGACGACAGTCGGCGACTAGGCGGCGACGGGGCGGCGACGGCGGCAGCACAGCCACCATACCGACCAGACGGCCCGGACGACAGTCGGCGACGAGGCGGCGACGGGGCGGCGATGGCGACAACATAGCCGCCAGACCGAACACACGGCCCAGTTCCTCAGAGGAGAAGCAAGAGCCTCGAAGTGCAAGTTCCGTTTGGGCAACAAGTGCTCCCAAGTCCAGAGGGGCCGCGATATCCAGGCAACTCATGGAGACCTCGTGGAGAACCCGTGGAAGCTCCAGCGCTCCAGGGACAGCAGAAGTTGTGAGGCGCGGACTGCGCCAGCGATTGGATCGACTGCGCCAGCGATTGGATCGACTGCGCCAGCGATTGGATCGACGGCGCCAGTCGATTGGATCGACTGTCGGTGCGACTGCGTCAGCGACCGGATCAATCAGCATCACGGGCAGCCCTTACACCGGCCAACACAGGCCTGGACGGAGCTCCGACGCCCTGATCTATTCAACACGCGGCGGCCTTCGAGGCCTCTTGGCTCCCTTCCGCGGGGCCCCGCCTTTCGTCTCAACCTGCATCTTGACGGCCCGGGGACCCAGAAAAAAGGAACAGCACACGCACGTGGGCACAAGGCTTCTGGCATGTTGGCACCAAGGCGAGACATCTCAGGAGGGGGCCCAAAAACAAAAACAGCACACGCACGTGAGCACAAGGCTTCCGGCAGGTTGGCACCAGGGCGAGACATCTCAGGACCTTGCAAACCAGCACTTCACAGCCCAGGACCTTGGCCGGACCAAGCGGTGAGAGAGCGAAGAGCGGAGAATGCGTCGACCCACGGTCGCACCACCAGGCGTGCCAGGATCCTGATTCAGCGACCTTCCTGTGTGGTGAGATATTTGGCGTCGTGTTTTGCATTGCCAGATCTCAATGAAGATCTCTTGGTGGAAGAGATGGGAAGGTGCTGACACCTTCCCAGGGACCAGCTTTTTATCGTCAGCCGTTCTGTCACGGCCCCACGGCTCTTTGAGTAGGCAGATCGTTGCCAGAGGATGCCCGTCTGGTGTTTGTTGACGAATCCAGGGGGCCTTGGTCCAGGCGGGGGGGGGGGGGGGGGGGCAATGTACCCGCGGACCCGTCCTGGGGTGCGCCCCGACTCGAGGCGGTGACCCAGCCGTGGCCACGAGGAGGCCCAGAAGCGGCCCAGAGCGCGCCCCGACCTCGAGCCTCGACCCTATAGATCTCTGCGTCTTCGACTGGCGGGGGCCCGGGCCCAGACCCACGGGCGGGGAAGGACCTGGCGGTGTCGGCCGAGCTCCGCCCCAAGCACTCGGCGCTCCTCCAGGCGCTGCGTGGGCTCGAGGAGCGGCTCGCGCCGGAGGTAGCCAACCGGCGGCCCTCCCGGGAGAGCCTCAGCCCCCGCGCCCTGCCCCGCGAGGTTCGGCGGACGAAAACAGGAGCAGATCTCCGACGACATGTGTTCGTTCTGTCCGGTGGTGCTTATACTCCCCTCGCGTGGGCACTCTTCCGAGCATCGTGTCGCCGTCACCGGCCGTGTTTCTCATCGCTGGCGGCCTCGTTGTCCGGGCCAGGGGCCACCCAGAGCGGATCTGGGGTTCAGACGTTGCCCCCTGGGGGAGCTTGTCGGGAACCGTGGGGCCGCGGATGGATACAAGCATCATGTCATCGGAGGATGCCCTGGATGGCATACACACACAAGCACACGTGCGCAGGCCTGGGCGGACCTCCCGGATCGGCGCCGGGCCCCCTCGGCGGCGCCTCTGGCGCCACCCTCTGGCGCGGAGCGCGCGGCAGGGGAGGCGGGGCTCTCACGGGCCGGTTCCGGAAGTCCGCGCGGGCCTCCGAGAGAGTACGGCGGGCGCGCGTCGTGTCGACGCGGCGGCGACCCCGCCGTGGGAGTTCAAGGCTGATTTCGAGGCCTCCCAGATGGGGTCAGAGTATAGACGGGGTCGGAGGATCGCGCCGCACCGCAGATGCATCGGCGATGCCGGCTCGATGGAGTTTCCCCGCGCCGGCGTCGCCGATGCACCAGCGACGTCGCCGATGTATCGCCGATTCATCACCGATGCATCTCCGATGCATCACCGATGCGGTCCAATCCTCCAACCCCGTCTACTCGGACCCCATACAGGAGGCCTCTGTGAAAACCGCAAGTGGCCCAGCGTCGGCCAACTTGGAGCGATCTCGCGATTGAAAAGCCGCCGATGATTTCAAATTCAACGATCCACGCGGTGTCAGAAACCAGCGCCAGGGTCTTCACGACACGAGCCAACCCATGCCGATGCTGCCTCTTCCGGAGGCACGGCAGCGCTTCGGCGAGGCCGCCGCGGCGTTCGAGGACGAGCTGGCGGCGGATCTCGCGTCGCTGCACGCGAGGCTGTCTGCTCGGCCCGAAAAAAAACACGGGCGGGTGGGTGTCGTTCGGGGGCGGCCAGGAGTGGGGTGATGCCTAGGGCGAGGCGGGTACATCACGGCGGGGGCACCAGTATGTGCGCGGAGTTCATCGCCCCCTCCTCTTGTTTCCGGAGGGGAAAAACACACACAGGCACAATGAATCGTCGATGCCCCAGAGAATAGGGGAAAGTATGGGAAGTGGTGGGGGAGGCTAAAATCCAGAAAATATTGGAGGAAGCTATGGGGGATCGTTCTACTCGTGTGCACTTCTTTGTGCGCCCCAGGGCCCCTCCCCTGTTGCAGGGCATCCCCCGTCCTCCCCCCCCCCCCTTCGTGCGCGCACGTGCCGCGGGCCACGACCTGCACGAGTCCCTGCCTCTGGCGGCCCCCCTCCCGGACGCCCCCCCCGACTCCTCGAGGGACGCGGGACCTATAGGAGTGCCCTTGTCGCCGCTCTCGGGCCCTCGGGCCTCTGCACGAACGAGATGGGCACGGAAAGAGCGGGCACAATGCCCAACAGCAGTTCCTGTTCATTTTGCACCGGACTCGCTGTCCGCGCCGCCGCGGCCCGTGTCCACTCGAGACAGAAGGCCGCCTGCCCAACAGCGGCCGCTGCTGGTTCGGGACAGCATGTGCTGTTGGGCATTGTGCCCATTCTTTCCGTGCCCATGTCGGGCGTCCAGAGGGCCCCTCTTTGTCGGGACCCTCCGGGAGGCTGCTCGCTGAGCCACCGCCTCGGTTCCTCGGCGCGGGGCCTCGGCCGGAGAGCGCGCCCCTGGAGAAAGGTCCCCGGGGCCCCCCTGTGTCTCTCGCCCCCGGGCGCGCCTCCCTTGTATTCGAGGGTGGACAGACCTCCTACCCTGACACGTCGATTAAGGAATTGGCCGTTTTCGGTTCGCGAGAGGGCGTCGCGGCCGTCATTTTTGCGGGTCCAGGTCCGTCGATTTCGGTCCCAGGCCGTTTTCACTAAGGGGAGGTCTACTAAAGGGAGGTTTGTCCACCGCCGATGTATGGCGACTGGAAGCAGTGGCGTGGCGCTCTCGTCGTGCAGTGCTGCGTGCTTCCGGTCTCCCGGGGAGAGCCCTGCAGTCCAGGGCCCGAGTCCTTCGTGACACCTTTCCGCCCCCGCTCCAAGGCACGACAGAGAGGCGCACCAGGACTGGCGGCGCGCGCGCGCAGGGGGTCGAGGCGCAGGGTCTGGCCTCCTGAGCAATGTGGGGCCGAGCCCTTCTGACCAGGCCACGCCCCATTTCTCGAGATCCCACGTCGTGAAATCATTGAGCTCATGTGAAGATACAGGCACCCCGCATACTCAGGATGAGCCACTCTCCGAGGGTGCCCTTGCATCCTCCCCCTTCGGCCCATCCTTGGCCGCTTTCGCTGGCCGCGCCCCCGCTCGCAGAGTGCCCACGCGACATTCCGAGGCCCTTGCATCCTCATCGTGCGACGTCTCTTTACAGGTTGGCTGTAACTCTACACTTTGTGTTCATTTCTAGTCCTTCGAACGATATTGGACTTTTTTGGGGGGCCCAGATCCGTTCATATTCCCAATCGTTCTATCCTGGACCTCTTCCTGGCCACTTGGGGGCCAGGAACAATCAGAAGCGAGCACAGTGAGAAACGAGCGCGATTAGAAAGGAGCGACGCGTCACTCTACTGGAGTCCTCGGCATCACCCCTGCCGGACCGCACGCCTCGAGCTGGACCGAGGCGCCGCCGGGACTCGCTCCGCCGTGGCCGGGGCGAACGCGCTCCTCTGGCTTGGGAAGGCCTTGCGGCCAGTGCCGCCGACCCTGAATGGCGGCGACGACGACGACGACGACGACGACGACGACGACGACGACAGGGGCACGAGGCTCCTGGAGCCCTCCGCGGGAGGCTGAGCAGGGCATCGACAGCAGCCTCCCATCTGGGCCTCCCAGGTGGGCTCGAAAAGCGGGTGGGGTCGAGGGGTCGCGCCGCATCGGCGCTGCATCGGCGATGCGGCTCGCTGTGGAGCCCGATTTGCTCCACGCCGGCGTCGCCGATGCACCGCCGACGTCGCAGGTGCCTCGCCAATGCATCGGCGATGCGTCGCCGAGTCATCGCCGATGCATTCGCGATGCGGCGCGACCCTCCGAGCCCAGCTACCCGGGCCCCGTGTAGGAGGCCTCCATCCAAAGCTCCTGGCAGTCCCCAGACCGCTCCCAACAACACCGCCTGCACCGTACCTCAGGGCAACGGTGGACAAGCACAAGATCGCGCCGAGACGCGTTCCGAGGCTCATCGATCCGCGCCCTCTCGCCCCGCCCCTCCCCGCGCGCCGCCACCAGGAGCAGGCAGAGATCTTGGCATCGCTTCGCCGCAGCACGGAGGAGCGCCACGGCGACGTGCTGCAGGCGGCGCCAGCGACGGTGACGTACGACGGCGCCGACGTGCGACTACGCCCAGCGACGACGACGACGACGCCGACGACGACGACGACCACGACGACGACGACGACGACGACGACGACGACGACGACGACGACGACGACGACGACGACGACGACGCACGACGACGACCCACGACGATTACGCCTGGTGACGACGACGACGCCGACGACGACGACGCCGACGACGACGACGACGACGACGACGACCAGTGACAACGACGGCGATGCCGCCCCACGACGTATTACGCCCGGTGACGACGACGGTGACGCCGCCGCACGACGACGTCGCCCAGCGACGAACGGCGAGAAACCGCACGGCGGCGGCGCACCCCGACCGCGACCGGGCGCGGGCGCCTGCGGCGGCGAGGTGCGCCGGCGGCGCCGCCGCCGCACGACGGCGTCGCCCGGCGGCGGCGGCGGCCGCCCGCGCAGGCGGCACGCGCGGCCATCGCCGCGGCCGCCCGCGGGCCGGCGGCGGCGGCCCTCGCGGAGGAGGCGTTGGCGCAGGTCGCGGGCGTGCAGGCCGCGCTGGCGGCGGAGGCCTTCCGGCACGGCGAGGCCTATGGGCGGCGAGCTTCCCTCGGGATCCCGCACCGGGGGTGGGTGCCCCAGGTCAAGCAGGGGCGAAGCGTCCTGGCTCACCCATAGCCCTACCGAGCAGTGTTCTAAGAACCTCTTGTGGTTTCCACGGAACGTTCTTAGACCATGTTTGGCTGGGACTGTCTTGTTTTATCACATCGGGGTTATGGTCTAAGAGCATAGATTGGTTCTTCGAACATTCTTGGGTTCTCAGAACATTTCATGGTAGGACTATAGGAATGCTGGGACGGTCGGTCCCTGCTCAACCAGGGGGGGGGTGAGTTCGATCGGTTCTTGCACCGAACCGCCCAAAACAGATGCCCCCCAGGCTCCCGATCGCTGCCGATTGGTGGGGCATGCGAGGGGCATCTGTATGCGGCAGTTCGGTGCACCAGCGGATCGAACTCATGCCCCCCCGCCTCTAGGGTCACCCCCCCCTTTGGTGGATTCCTGATTCACCGCGGGGGGAGCGGTTCTCGAGGCGGGTCCCGAGGTCTGTCGCGGCCCCTCCGCGGGGTTGGCCTTAGTGGAGGGCATCTCCAGGTTGAGAGCCAGCATCCCCAGGTCGAGAATCGGTACTCCCGGGTCGAGGATCCGTATTCCTATTGGTCGAGAATCAGAGGTCGAGAATCAGTACTTCCAGGTCGAGAATCAATACGCTCGGGCTCCTGGGGGGCCTAAAGCAACCCGGGATGAGGTTCTCGTCCTGGGGGAAGGCCCCAGGGTCCAGGACCCGCTTTCCTCAGGCGAAGACCTCTGCAAACAAAATAGCCGTCAGCGCTCCCATACGGGTGGGGGGGGCAGAGGGGGCGTCCTTTGTCGCGAAGGAAAGAGTACTGGATCAACATACATGTTCGGAGACCCGCGCGAATTTCTCGGATCTGCGCTGGGCTCCTCTGGCCTCCGGCGCCGACCTCGGTGCCCTCCGCGCGCCTGGAAGGGGGGGTCAGCGCCGATATCCGCGCAGACCTCTGAAGTTTCTGTTTATGCAGCTGTCCTCGCATTATTTGAGAAGGCTCAGAATGCTTAATGCTTTATAGCAATATTTCTGTACCCTCGCCGACAGAGAGGGGGGATTTCAGAAGGCCGGAAGGCTTCTGAGAAAGCCCGCCGCCGTCCCGACAGGCCTTTCCCCTCTCACCTCCCCATTCGGCGCTCCGCCGGAAATAGCCATCGGCTTGGAGTCGGCACGACGGATACAAAGAGCAGCCCTCCGACGGCGTGGAGTTGTGCATCGCTTCGGTCTTCTAGTGCCCCACCCCTCGTGCTCCAGGGGCCACCAGCGACATGGGCTCGGGACGCAAAGCCGCCCCCCCCCTCCCCGGGGAGGGGCCGGAAGCTCCCAGGGCCGCAGAGTGGTGAAACAATTCGGACTCGGAGGAAGTCCCCACTTTCTCCAGCATCCTTCTTCAGCCTCTCCACACGGGTACTGCAGTTCGCCGTGTCGAGGTCAGGGGTGGGGCGAAGGGGGCAGGGAGAACTTTTGACAGGGATGCCCTTCCTTAGTCTTCTGGGAAGGGGTCCTGAAGGAAACGGGCCATGAAGTTTCTGCTTGCTATTTTTTGGGGGGGGCTTGTGACCTCGACGGGCCCCAGCACCGTCAGAGAACTACATTGTAAGTCGGGCGTGCCCCTCTTCAGGAGGAAGATTCAACACCAGCAGAAAAGTGGTCCGGAGACGGATGTTCGATTATTTTTTGAATAACTTTGAGCATGTCTGTCCCTGTTTTAGTCCCAAACCCAGCGGACGGCCCCTGGGTGCGCCGGGCCCGCGTCCTGCGGCCCCCCCGTGGGGGATCCTGGACGCTCTCCGAGCTCGCGCTCGGTCCCTAAGGGCGCTCCGCGGCCCTGGGGGGGCCGTGGGCGAAGGGCTCCGTCCCTCCTCCGCCTCCTCCGCCCCCGCCCTCTCTCCTTCGGATTCCCCTCGCGCTCGCTGCTGGCTTCGCGTTGTGCAGTCTCGCGCAGGTAGTAGCTTGAGCCGTTTGCACTCGGATACTCCTCCCTCCGTATACCATTCGAGTTTTTCCCAGCCCCTGCTGGGATCCGGAGGTGGCGGCGTGGAGCCCCCCCCCCCCAAAAAAAAAATCGCTCCTCCTTGGGTCTCGGGCAGGCTGCGGGGCGTCCACGCCCGCGGCGTCGGGCCCCTTCCTCCTGTGGCGGGCTTGCGAGGCCCCCCTGGGGCGTGGCGGGCCCGGGTCCCTCCGTGTCGGGGTTTGGGCCCCTGCTTTGTGCCCCGTGTCGGGTCCCTCCGTGTCGGGGTGGGGTTGGGCTCGGGTCCCTCTCCGTGTCGGGGTTGGGCCCCTGCTTTGTGCCGGCGTCAGGCGCAGCGGTGTCCCTTCCTGTTGAGGCTTCCTCGGCGACGCGGCGTGGGCACCCTGTAGGTCTTCCCGGCCTTTCCTCGGAGAAGGAAAGACAAGCCACAAACATAAATGTCTAGCGCTCCGCGCGGATTTCTTGTCTTGGATCCGAGCTGGGGCCCCCCTGCGGCGCCTCCGGCGCCGCATCTGGCGCGCGGAGCGCGCCAGGGAGGGGGGTTCCAGCGCAGATCCAAGAAAGCCGCGCGGAGCGCGAAAAGTGCATGTTGATGCAGTTGTTTCTTCTTCTAGTTCTAAAGCAGCGTATGTAGGAGTTACAGGCGCTCTACATACCTCGACAAGCCCACGTAGCAATGGTGCCCCAGGGAGGTTACGAAGAGGAGGACGTAGACACGCAGATGGTGAAGCAGCGAGGCCGACAATGGTGAACTTAGGGACCTCTGAGAGTCTCTTGAAATCAAGTTTCAGCTCTCTTGGAACCTCGTCGGGAGCCTTGCCCTTTTGCGGCCCTCTTAGGTGCCATGGGCCCCTCTTGGGGCCATCGAGATGGTGGCCCGATGTCAGTCCCCCCCACCTGCGGTAGAGCACTCGTTTTCTGGGGAGCTGTATAGCCTTTTGGTGGCGTCTGAGGGCCATATTGGAGCGGGCCCTCTTGGAGTCGCTTTGCAGCCTTTCGGGGTCCCTCTTAGGGGCTCTGTTCGGCGATCTTGGAGTCACCTTGACGCCTCGAATGTCCAGCGGAAGCGACAGGCGAGAAGGTAAACACATTGATTCGCCTTAGGTGTTTCAAGGATTTGGGCGTATCGGATGCGGCCTTGGGAGGTTCCGTGGCCACGTGGAATCGTCTTGAGGCGGTCTTGGGGCTTCTTGGAGGCATGTTAGAGGCCGTATCGGGCAATGTGGTGCAATCTTCGCCGCCACATGGGGACATCCGGGGCCATCTTGGATCTACAAGGACTTCGTGACACATCGCGAGGGCAGGGGTCTGGACCCAGCCCGCAGGGGAAGAAGGGGATTGGAGACGAACTGCCTCCCAGAGCCAACTACGGTCAGGAACCTCGGCTGAGCGTGTCGCGCCGCCGATCTCGGCCCACCACGCTTCGGCACGACACGCTGACCACCTCCCAACTCCTAGACGTGTGGACGACGACCAATGGAGAGGAAGCATGTTGCCAAATCATTTTCAGATGCCAAAGCACTGTGTTAAACATGTCTTAAACATAGACAATCACGGTTTAGATATTTGTAGAACATGTCCCAAACAGTTTAAGCACATGTTTAAAATCAATGATAGGATTGATCGGATGTCTGTTGTCATGGCATCCACAATCCTAGACGTCAACGCCCCGAGCCTTTCCCAGCTGCCCGCCCCGCGCAGCCGGCCGACGCGCTATCGGCCTGCAGGGCATCGCTTGTCGCCTGGGCCGCCCCCGCGACGCGCTAAGCAAACATTCCCGATCCTACGCCCAGAGGGCCGGTGGAACTCCATCGCCACAGTCAGCCCCGGTCACCCAGCGAGCCGCCGCCGACACCCTCCGCGCCGCTGTCACGAGCCAGCCGAGGGCCCCCGAGGGCCGCCGAACGGCGAGGACGGGGGTCCGAGGCTGGAGGAGGCAGGATGCAGGAGGGAGGAGAGGCAGGAAGAGGAGGAGGCAGGAGGAGGAGGGAGGACGAGAGAGGAGCAGGAGAGGAGCAGGAGAAGGAGCGAGGACAGGGGATGACGAGGGGGGGAGGAGAGGAGCAGGAGGAGGATGGCCGAGCGACCACAGCGACGACGAGCCCCACGACGACGACGACGACGACGACGACGACGACGCCGACGACGACGGCGGCGGCGGCGGCGGCGGCCGCGGCGTGCCCTTGGCGAGGTGGAGGGCACGGGCCCGCGCAGCCTCGCGACGCTGGGCCCGCGCCGGGCGCTGCTCGAGGGCGCCGCGGCGGCGACCACCGCCGCGCTCGGCGCGCTGCAGGCGATGCTGTTCCATCTTACCCCTTCGTCGAGGAGGAGGAGGGGGGGGAGGAGGAGGAGGGGGGGGGAGGAGGAGAGGGAAGGAGGAGGAGGGGGAGGAGGAGGTGGAGGGGGAGGAGGAGGTGGATGGGGGAGGAGGATCAGGAGGAGGAGGGCGGATGAGGAGGGGGAGGAGGAGGAGGAGGAGGAGGAGGGGAGAGGGGCAGGAGGGAGGTGTGGTTGGCGGCTCCCGCTGAGGGTTCGAATTCTTTTGGTCGTCGAGTAGGAAGAGGAGGACGAGGACGAAGACGAGGAGGAGGGGAGGTCGTGGACCTTCTCGTCGAGGATGTCTTCGTTGAGGAAGGATGGGGGTGGATTCTTCAGCAGGTTCGCATGGGGATGCGTCGGATGTTTTTCTGTTGAGGAGGGCAGGAGGTGTGTCCTCGATGTGCGTTGTGGAGGGATCTTCCGCAGTGGCGAAGGAGGAGGAGCGTCTCCGCGGCCTTGCTCGATCTCGGCCGGCTACCCGCTGAGCCAACTCGGCCGCCGAGCGGACTCGGGATCGGGACCGTGCGGCGGCTGAGCGGCTGAGCGGGAGCAGCTCCCGCGGCCTTGCCGGAACCGAGCCCGTGCGGTTGCCGACGCCGAGCGGGCTCAGCAAGGAGCCCTCGGGCCCGCGGCGTGCTGCACCGCGACCGCCCGCGGCGTCGTCGCCGCCGCTCCGAGGCGTTGCGAGGCCTCGCCCGGCGCTGGCGTTACTGCCGAGGTCAACATCCCCGCCCAGACACCGTCGTCCTGGCCGGTCTTTCGGGCTGCGTCCAGCTCTCAATTGCACGCAAGAGTGGCCCTTCGCCGGAGTGACCTCTGGTGCGGGCTCATCGGGGTCCCCCCGATCGCCGAGCGCGACGCGATAGCGGCTGACTGCGCTCGCCCCCCTGCGCCCCCCTTGTCCGCGCACCAAGGGTCGCTCTTGCCCAGGGTCACTCGCATGTAGCTCAGTTCTGCTCTTGAGACCAAGCTCGTCGTTTAATAGTGCCAGGCAGTGGCGAAGCGTCCTGGCTCGCCTATAGCCCTGCCAAACAATGTTCTAAGAACCGGTTGCGGTTTCCACGACATGTTCTTCGAACATGTATGGCGGAGTCTGTCTTGCTTTAACACATCGGGTTTATGTTCTAAGAACATTGTTTTTGTTCTTAGAACATTCTTGGGTTCTAAGAACATTTCGTGGTAGGATTATAGGAATGCCGGGACGGTCGGTCCCTGCTCAATCGTGGTCGCACCAGGCCTCGCTGTGAGGCGCTGGGGTCTCGGGGGCCCTCGCGCGGAGGGATCTGGCTGTTCGAGCTGCTGCGCAGCGAAGGGGTCGGGGGCTCCAGTGCGCGATCTCT